ATGGAGTCAGAGGCAAAGGGAATAAGATAGAGGAGATGTTTGGCTTTGCTTACTATTTTCTGCTTGTTAAATCTTTTCAACTTGTACATCTGGGTGATACTACCAAGTAATAGAATAGTAAGTCATACTAAACAAGAAATAAGAGAGGATTAGTTTACAGTAAAATTATAAGACTGTGTGTAATACTGTATTAAAGCTTCTGTAACCTATTTCATGTATGAAAATATTACAAATCAAAGCAAAGTATCCAGAGACAACTATCCGTAAACTTCTTATGCTATCATAAGGTATTTTACCCAATTTTCCTAACTAATATCTGATTTTTAAAAAACTGAAATAGAAGAATTATCAGTTCTTCATTTATTAAGATTAAAAATTGGTTTGACAATTTCATTTTAGACATAGGAGTGAGAAAACTCTTAATGAAGTTATATAATAGCAGGCATTATTTCTACTTTATGAGTAAAGAAATGAAAATACAATTAGCAAGATAAAATACCTGTTTGGTTTAAAGCACTGTTTTTAGATTTTCAACAGTTGCCTGATAGCTAATAAAACTGATGCAATGGGTCTAGTCTCAGTAACACAGACATTAGGGATGCTGCTACGTGATACGAGAGGCCCTGTGGGAAGACACCATGTATGTGTCCTGTATGCACCTGCACATGTCGGGTGAACCCATGATCCCAGGCTGTTGGAAGGATTGTGGCATGAAGACTGTCAAGGCTGACTCTTTCTCTCTCCACAAATCAGAATATTTTTAAAAATTAAAAACCTGTTGTGAAGTCTGTGCTTTCCCAAGTGGTTAAAAACCCAAGTTACTTAAAAGAAACACAAAGTGTTCTAGTGACATTCTTTAAACACTGCAATTGACGTACTATATAATGAATATATTTCACTTTTGTGTGTCATCGATTCCTTGAGATTAGAATTGCCTTATTTACTTTTCCCTAAGGAGTTTCTGTATTATTTTTCATATAACAAGAATCCAGTTAATATTGCCAGTTGAACATCTAGATCTAATACTCTCAAAAGTCTTCAAACTACTAGATAATTCTCCCCAGTAAGCTTTGTGCAAAGTTCAAATATGAAATAAAGTGTGTAATATAATTTCTGTTTAGCAAGAATGTGGGAACGAGTAATTAATTGGATCGAGGTTTAAGCCAACAAACCCAAATTGCCTTTTAACTCAATTGAGGCAAAAGGGTTCTAATAATTTGAGATGATTCCTCAGTGCTCCATTTCATTGAAGTGTTTAAAAAAAGAGTTATTATCTCAACTATTGCATTTTTTTCTGATACCAAGTCAAAGAAGGATTAGTTATAGCAGAGTCAATATTGGTTCACGTTTCAGAATTTGTTTGTAACTTGTGCTTTCATTAAACTATTTAAAGGCATTTCCTTATTTTTCAAACACCAAGAAGAAAGTCCTATATATCCTGTATGCTAGTTTTCATAACACCGTAGATGAAAGAAGGTGCCAGGGGATTATATGACATTCTTAATTTAGCCTATTTATTTATGTTTCAGGGCCAAGTTAAAGCAAATCATGTAACTTAAGCATTTTGAGATGCATTTACTGTATCTCTTAACAACATACACAGTTCATCTTTTAAAAATTAAATAGCATATTGCATTTTGAATAAATCCAAATAAGAGAAGACATAAACCAAAACGTAAAACACACTAAAATGAAATCTTTGGCACATTTTATATTTTCAATTTTCTTCATATAAGCATACAAATAATAATAGAATTCATAAATTAGCTAGCAGAAATGCTCAGAAACCACTAACGTAATATTCCACCAACACATTATAAACACACACTTCTGTGTTCATCTTTGCGAATTCAACCATCTCTCTCTATATACAAAATAATATTTATTGGAAACCTGAAAGAACTAAGTTAACAAACTGTCCCTGAAATTGCCAATATAAAAATACACTAAAATACCTGGCAATTCTAACTATATCTAATATAAATACTGGTAAGTGAGATCCTGTTATGTTAATGATAGATCAGCTATTCCAATCTCCACTTAGGTAAACATGTAAAAATGGTTGAACAATAAATTTCTATGGCAACACTTTAAATTCTAGGATATTCTTAGTTACAGCCGCAGTCGCAGAAGCTACTACTTTCTTTAAAGCAATGTAACTACACAAGATATCTCCTTTCTTTCCCAGTGGGCACAACTAATATCTCTTTCACTTTAATAAATTTAAAAAATGATTTAACTGAAAACAAGATTTCTCAACTAATGCACAGTATGACAGTTAAATGAGCATTTTATATAAAGAAAAAATTAAAAAATGCTAAGCACTTATACTTGAAAGCTATATTGTGAGGCCATATGCATTATATATTCTGCTTATAAAATAGATATATATGTATGTAAAGCTAATACATATTAAGCATATATATAAAATGTCAAAATGAATGAAACACTGCCAATCTAAATAAAAAATGTTCTTATATATTAAATCATTGGATAACTTTTCTACATGGATTTTTGACATATGATTTATTAAAATACTTTGATGGCCTAGTAATTTTAGAATCAATATTTAGACCATTTAGATTTAATAATTTGAGTGTCTACAATTTATGAACTCATAAAGTACATTCATCTTTTTTCTTACATGTTGTCTTCTTGTGTACTCTTGAAGCTGAATGAAGGGCAAGTTTCTTTTGTTACAAGATATACTAAAATATAAAGGGTCATTGACATATACTTGCTTAAGAAGACAGAATTTGAGTAGCTAATGTGTTTTATATATATATGTATTGTGTCTTAATTTACATTTTTAATTGTTATAGTTGTGAGCTTTTTCAAGATCTCTTTATTTTCACTTAACTTTTTTGAGAGATTGTTTGCTATAGGGCACATGAGTTTGCCAAAGAGACAGAAAGAGAGACAGAGACAGAAAGCGAGCAATCAACTCCTAGGGGAATGCTCACTCTGCAATTTGTTCTCCTCCATTCTCAGGATTTTGGGCATGCATGCATACATGCCCAGTATGAGTTTTAAACTACCAGGTCCAAGACTTGAACCACAGTAGACTACATGGGAGTCCAGCAACATAACCATTACACCATCTTCTGGTCCCAAGATCTCCTTTAAAATGTGGATTATATATATATATATATATATATATATATATATATATATATATGTGTGTGTGTGTGTGTGTGTGTGTGTGTGTGTGTGTATACCATTCCATCTCAAGACTGAGGTTTTATAGTATGAAGAAAATTGGGTTTAAATGGCACTCCATGCTTTACCATTTATGACATGATTTATTGACGATTCATTTGAAACCTCAGTTTTCTAATCTGTATAGTGAAAACAGCAGTATCTTACTAAATTACCCTGTGGTTGTGGCTGAACTAAATAATTATGTATACCACTTAGCACAATGATCACTCAGAAAACATTGACTATTTTAAAAATAATTTACCCCTACTTGACTTGTATATTATAATTTCTTTTAAACCAGGATGTAAAAAAGTTCTTGCTCCTGTACTCACCTTCTACAAGAAGTTTTAGTTTCCTGACCTGGACTAGCCATGTATCAGTTTTAAACCTCACTGGATTATTTTTCACCAAGTGTCATCTTTCACCAGAGAGGTTTCTACCTCTGCCATTGTTTCTTTTCCTTCTTTAAGTCCTAATGTTATTGAATAAATGACCCTTTCCTTCCCCCAAGTTTTTCATCACAAATAAATCTGTGGGTTGCTTACCAAGAATTCAGTTGTACTTTCTGCAAAAAGAATGACAACCCTTGTATGAAAAATAAATAAATAAAAAGCAACTCATAATATTTATCAGCAGATACAAGGATACATCCATACTATCATGAATTCCAGTCCATAAATAAAGGAATCAGGAGAGAAAATGATAAATGGCCTTAGGAATAGTCATGGTTCGTAATAATAAAGATTTTATTTTAAAAATGTTAAATAATACATACTCCAGAACACCACTGTTCTGAGAAACTACTTCCCTTTTGAATATGAGTTCTAGATGGCAAGTCTACTCTGGGAGTTTTTATTAACTGATTTATTATATATATAAATATGTGTGTATATATGTGCGTGTATATATATATATATACATTGAATATATATGTAAATATATATGTGCTTTTGATATACTTTTTAAAGGTGGATATGTGGTGGAATGTGGCCCCCATCAATCTGTTTGGTTTTGTTTGCTTTTTGTAGTCTAACTGCTGCTTAAACAGACTTGCTTAGAAATTCCGGAGGAATATGAGGCCAGAGTTACACTAGTTCATAAAATTCAAACAGTTCAATGTTGGTTTTTTTTTTTTTTATATTAATTACTGAGACATAACCAAAAATCTGGATGATGGGAGAGAAACACTTCTTTAGGGTAATGATTGATTTCCATAAAGATGAGTGCTTTAACAAATTTCAATATGCAGTTGCCAAGGCGGGGAAGGTGGGTGGGCACTAATTAGTTTTACCATTTTCAGCAGATGTTGAATTCAAAATTCCAGCAGCATCTCTGATGCCAGTCATTAAGGTTGTCTTTCATCGAGGAGTGCTGACCAATGAAATCTCCACATTGTGTAATGAGACCGATCTAGGCAGAGTCAATTAAATCAAATCTCTCTGAACATCCTTAATATATATCTGCAGTGTGGGCAGCACCGACAAAAGCAGCAGCGAGGGATTTCCAGTATTAATAAAAGGATTCACTGCAGCATTAGAAGAGTTGCAAAGGAGGGGAGTGTGTTGGGGGGAAGACCTTCCTTTACGGACTGAGGCAAGCTGCTAAAGTCTGGGCGGGGGTGGAGAGGGTGCAGAAGAGCTATATGTAAAGGGTGAAAAGCTGAGAAAGGCGATTAAAGAAAGATCCCTACTGTGACTCAAGAAGGGATCCACCTCCCGCCAGTTCCCTCCCCCACCCCTCCACCGCCAATGCAATTTACCGGTTGCAAATAGGAAGCTGGAAAAATGTAAGGACCCAGATTTGAAAACATTTTCACTTTAATACTGAAAAAATATGCCATTATAAAATCCTCGAATAGAATTAGTAAGTTCCACGTGCTTCCTCGGTTCTTTTTTCCTACTTTGTAAGTAAGATTTATACCAGCACAGAATTGCTACCATAGGGTCGCAGCCTAAGCACTAGAGTGACATTAATTGGTCATGCTTAACTGCCTCAAAATCTTTTTTTTTTTAAATAATTACACTGATACTATAATAGAAATCATGGGTACTTATTTTACATTCAGATGGAAGGCATTATTGGATATGTATAGAAAAATATTCCCCCTCAAAAATAAAATAAAATAAAATAAAACATCACCATCAAAATAAAGGAACCCAAAACAACCCCTAAAAATTTCCCTCAACAAAATACATCGTTAACTCATAAAATGGACTGATAACTAGCCATGCAAATGTCTTAAATAAAACCTTTACATTTTTTTTTTCACAGTAAACGTACGCTCTGAACTGCCTACCGATCACAATAATGGCGAAATGGCACTTTCTGATTATACTGTATTTCGTTTAGAGAAAGTTTGATACGATGGGACTTATCAGGTAAGAGGGTGGGTGCTGTGAACGAGACGCTGTCTCCAGTCGCGGGGGCGGGCAGAGTCCCTGGAGCGCGTGGGTTCCATGCGAGCCATGCAGCACTTGTCGCTTTTTTTTCTTTTGTCAGGAGTCAAAGTTATTTATTTACAATACATTCATGCCTTCGTGCAACTGCCCATCCCTGCAGAGCCAACAGGGAGCCATCGTGGGGGCTAATCCACAGGGGAAAAATAGATATCTATCTCTCTATATAGATGTGGATATATGTATATATGTATAGATCCGCGGCATCCGTCCCCACCCGCCCCTTGGCGGAGGGCGAGGGCGCTGTGAATTCTTTCAGCTGAGCCCATGCTGGGCTTCCTGTCAAATGGGGCTCCGAGCAGAGAGCGAGCTGGCTGTGCTCTTCCAGCTCGCCACAGTCTGCTCTTTGTTTCCAGAAGGGAGCTAGGGAGTCAGACCCTCTCCGTTGAGCGGGTTCATAGTTATTTATTTATCTGTGTCTATCAGGGCCTGAGGCGCACTGGATTTGGGTCAATGCCGCTCTGACCCCGGGGATGCCATTGGCCGGGAGACTTTCTCTCTTTTGCGCTCCCCTCCCGTATCCGGGTTGGGGGTCTTAGTCTGAAAGCGAGTGAGAGCCACAGTCATACACTCTGTGAGCCCCATCTGCGTTGTAAGGCCCATTGTGCCAGTAGGAAGAGTCACAGACTGTCTGTAGGGAATTAATTTCGGACGCTGAGGAGTTGGCGTCCCTTCTCTTGGACCGCTTTCGGTTCCTCAGGATAAACACGAGCATGCCCACCACGGTGAAGGCGGAGGTGACAAACACCAGCAGCAGTCCCGGGACCAACACGGAGATGGACACCCTGCTGGTGTCTAGGTAGGAGTTGGAGTGCGTCCCGGTCTCCGCCAACCCAGTGCTGTTTTTACTGTGAGAAGTTAACGTGGGCGAGATCCTCGCATACAGCTGGGGGCAGATCTCGTCATTGGAGAGGAGCATGAAATCCTTCCTAAAGAAGTTCACAGGCGTCTCACACTTGAGGTCGCTCATTAGCACTTCGGAACCCAGGCGTTCTGCCCATTGCTTGAAAGGCACAATGGTGCAGGAGCACTCCCAGGGATTCCCGTGCAGGTCTATCTGGATGATAGAGGTTAACTGATCCAGCACCCCCGCCACCGGGAGGTACATGAAGTAATTGTTATGCAGGCTGAGCTTAGAGAGCGAGACCCCAGCGAACACGTCCACGGGGAGGGACCTCAGCAGGTTGTTGTTGAGAATGAGGATCCTCAGCTTGGGCATGGCATGGAAAGTGCCCGGGAGGATGAGCTGGATGGCGTTGTACTCCACGTTCAGGTACTCCAGGTTGTGCAGTCCGGAGAACTTCTCCCGGGAGAGCGTGTCCAGGTAGTTGCTATCCATGTACAGCCACCTGAGGTCCAAAAGGTTCTTGAAAGTGTTGTTCTCCACCGTGGCAATGTTGTTGTTGCCCAGATCCAACAGAACGAGGTTCTTGTAATCCACAAAGTGCGATTTTCGGATGCTGTGGATCTTGTTATCTCTCAGGAAAAGCTCCTGCACATTGGAGAGCTTGGGCTTCAAATCAGCCAAGCTACTCACGTTCCGGTTGTTGCAGTTCATCTTTAAACCCGACCCAGGGATGTGGTCGCAGCTGCAGCCCCCCGGGCAGGGCAAGCCATTCGCTGGGGGTTTGTTTTTGGCGCTACCGGTCGCTATTGCGGCCGTGGGTCTGATTTTGATCTGCCAATTGCCTGGTATCTTTGTACCTCCATTTGGAGCAGATCCTGGGGTGGCATGGTCCTCTTGCCCATTTGTCTTGAAAGGAGTTGGCAGGGGGCCAGGAGCGAAGGTCTCTTCTTGGGCTGGGGGCGCTGGGAGACTAGAATCCACTCGGTTTTTCAAGGGACACAAGTCCTGTTCGGTGGTTTCATTAAGGTCTTTACCCTGCAGTCTGGTGGGGGCTTCGCAGACCACTCGCCCGATCAGGGCGTTCTTGGGAATGTTTTCAAGCCATTCTTTCAGGGACAGCAGATCACAGGTGCAGTCCCAAGGGTTATCCTCTAGCAGGATCTCGGCAATGCCAGGGATTTGCTCCAAGACCTCCTCATAGGGCAGCGTTTTCAGCCTGTTTCCCCGGAGGTCGAGGTGGGTGATGGGCACATACTGGAATACATTGGCAGGTAGGGTGCTGATGAGATTGTCATTTAAAATGAGTACCTCCAGCTTGTTCAAGTCCTGGAAGGCCCCCGGGTCTATGTCCCGTAATAAATTAAAATCTGCCTGGAGGTATTCCAGATCGTCCAGCCCCAGAAAAGTCTGCTTTCGAAAAGACTTGATCTTGTTGTTATTGATGTGAAGCCTTTTCACCAGCTGCAGCCCCAGAAAAGCCCCCGGAACGATTTCGTGCAAGCCATTGTTTTCCATGTGCAAACTAACCGCATTATAAAAGTTAGCGAACTCATTAGGGAAAAGTCGAGTGAGGGAATTGCCATGCAGAAATAAATGGTAAAACTGGGAAGTCGGGGCGGTGAAACGCTGCAGACTTGTGAAGCCCTTTTTTTCACAGTCTACGTGTAGGTCCCCTTCTATCTCATTGCAGGAACAGATCTTCTCTTTGCAAACGTCCCCTGTAACGTTTCCAGCGGCAAAACAAAGAGACGTCTCCAGCAACAGAATCCAAAGCAGCATTTTTAAAGCGAGCAATTCATCCCCGATCTCATCACAAAGTAACAGCGACCATCCTGCTCGCCACAGACACAATTCAAGTTCATTTAGTGCTCCAATGTCCGAACCCAGGGAAGGAGAAGAAAAGGGTTTGGGGGGGTGGGGGCGGATTCCTTCCTGCCTAACCCCCCCTCACTGCAATAGCCCAGACGCCAGTCAATAATTATATCCACCAACTATCCAGGCACGTAGTGCAAGGCAAGCAAAAAGAAAAAAAAAAAAAAAAGTAGAAAAAAAAAAAAAGAAAGAAAAGAAAACCCTACTCCCCCTCAACCCTTTAAAATAACCAAAAAGAAGTTAAACATATACATATCAATTAAAAATACACCCTTACAGAATCTCGTCTACTGGTCCTCACTAATCAGACGGCGAACAATGCTAGTAATTGGAAGCAAGTGCATGTTAGAGAAACAAGCAGAGGGTTTGCAGCGTAGTACAGGCGCACCGCCTGTGCATGGCTGTACGTCGGACTGACCTTGCCTCTCTGATACAAAGCAGGGGTTTCGGCGGCTTCTGCTGTTGGTGGAGTTCTTCCTGAGGTTGTGGGCTGCCCAGAAGTCCCCCCGAGGTGCTGTCCAGTCCCCCCGGTGCTGAAATCACGCCCGACCGAAGGACTCACGCTGCCCAGCCAATGGCGCTGGAAAATTTCCGCAATTGCTGCGTTTTGTGGCTGTCCATCCTTTTCCTTTCCTCCCCTTCGATACTCTTCAGCCTTTTGCTGTGCTCCCGCTCTTGTTCTTGCTTACTAGCTCTTCTTTTCTTGTTCTCCTTCTCTTTCTTCTGCTCTTTCGGAATTACGTGGAGGGGGGCGGAAGGCGGGGGGCGAGTTGTCTGAGGGAGGAACAGAGCGCGAGAATGGGGTGGGGGGGGGAGGCGGAGAAGAGAGTTGCTAAGAAGCTCTGCTCGTTCCAGCCTGGTGCACTCTGAAAGATCTGACACCCTCTGCTGATCTGCAGTAGCAAAAATCCATCTGGTGAGGGAATGCTGAAGCAAAAAAAAAAAAAATCAATTCACGTACAGGGCAAGCGTTAAAAATGTGGGCATTAAAGGCTGTCGATCTACATAGACGCTTATTTTAAATGGATTATTTAATTCTTTTTGCATGCTGGAAACTTGACCCTTTCCTTTCCTTAACTACATCACAGCCCCCACTAGCTCCAGTGTTCGGAAAGGAGTGCTTTTAAAACATTTATTTCCCAATGGCTTGAATAAAATTAGTGTCAGGGTGTCAAGCGAACAGCAATTTGAGGTAATTATACTGCACGCCATTTTCATCGGTGCTTTAAATGCATTTCTTCCTTCTCTGCGGTACAGCGTTTTATGCTATTTGATGTCTTTGAAACCTTTTTTTTTTTCTCTCTTTGGGCATGTTGAAAGTGGCTACTCGGAACATACATATTACATAATATCATAATTGGGTATGAATTTTTTGTTGCAAGGTGTATAATTTAGGCACATACTTTTCTTTTTAAAACTTGTTATAGAATTCTAGTCAATTTTGACCGTTGAGAGTTAGATTTCTCTCATGATATCGTGAATGTTATTTAAGTCTGCAGGGTGAAAGCACAATGCATACTTACGTCTTTGATTTCAGACCCTAGAGCTTTCACTGAGAACCGGAAAAAGAGGGAGGGGGCAGGGAAAAACCCCAAGATGATTTGTGAGTGCTCTTAAAAATCTATTGGCAGGCAGGAGCCCACAACACACACACACACACACACACACACACACACACCCTATTCACAAAGTTTCTGCATCAGTTAGGACAAATTTAAAATGCATACAAGTAAATAACCAGTTGCATATTGAGAGGAGAAGATAGAAATCTCTCTTCTCTCTTCTTTAAAGCTGGGCAGAACTGTTTTCTGCAGGTAGCAGGCAGCTCCTCTTCGCCCAGCCTGTTACCGGGTCACTGATGCCTGGGGTTGGAAGAGCATGATATTCAGGCTTTTTGCCAGAGGGAATCCTCAGGTTCCTTAAACTTAGAGCTTATAAAAACCAAGTTGTACATGCTTCTGGGAGGAGAAAAAAAAAAAAAGAAAAACAAGAGAATTCTGCTTTTTCAAAAGACAATTTTCTGACTTTTCTTATCAGAGTCGACACGTTTTCTATTAATAGTCTCATATTTGTGCATCACATTAGGGTTTGAACTTATGGGCCTTTTTTTTTTAAATGTTGTTTCGTCTTTTCGTCTGTTAAAGCAGAGAGATGTTTACACTCTCCCTTCTAATTAGGTCTTAAGCAAGTTGGCCAGCTGTTGCAAAGCTGCTAATAACTGAGGTGAAAGATCAAATATTCAAGGAAGTGTGTATTTCCAGAAAACTGGAAAGTGAAAATTTAGGAGAAACGACTAGGGCTGGAGAAATTCCCAAGGGTAGAGAAGGTGTTTAAAAGATTTAGAGATATATAAAAGATACATTTTTTTTTTTTTTGGTTTGGATTCCAAAGCTAATTCTTAGGTGAATGGGGAGAACTTCAAAACTATATAGAACATTTTCATATAATCAGATATTGTGTTATAGGCCTCTGGAAAAATTCAAGGGGAATTGGGGAATTTGGCTGAGTTCAGTGTGTGAGAGAGAAAAGAATGAGGCAGTGTGACCTTTACCAGACATCTTATTTCACCCCTGAAAATTCTGTTCTTATTTAATTTCACTCATTACCGCATGTAGAGAGAAGGGAAATTTTTTTAAACTGGAGTCATTTCACTAAAAAGTGCTATGAAGTTGAGACCTGCAGATGTGGAGGAGTTAAACTGAAGATAAGGATATTTCTGTTTCTTGGTAATAGGACTCAGGTCTGAAACATCTGGGCCTCACAAACCCCCTGATGAAGGAAGGTAGCCTTCATTCAGTGCTTGTGGTTGACAAGGAAAGTTAAGACTGAGGTGGAAACCAAAAAATTCTGTTTAGAAAAAAAATATATATATATGTTGATGTTAGTCATCTTAAAGCATCATTTCAACCTGAATTGGTTACTTGTTTGTTTCAACTTATTGAATAATATATTTATGTGAAGAGAGCCAAAGAGCATATTTAAGTTCATTTCAATGGACAGAATTTAGATAAATTAAATCTGATACTTAGATTTCATCTTCCTTACCCTTCCCTTCCCCTTTAAGCTCTGTATATTTCACTTTCTTCCCCAATTTCTTCTTTCTTCTCGAAGTACCAATCACAATACAAATGTTACATTAGGGTTTTCCCATTTAGAAATGGCACATTTTTCCATTTCTATTCAGTTCAAATAGTTTGTTATCTCCGCACACTCAAAAAAGGAGCATAGCAGTGCCCAGATAAGCAACTAAACCTGAGAATAAAATATAAAGATTATACCAAGATGAAGATATCCACTGCAAAATTACAAGCAAATAATACAGACAACACACACACACACACACATATAATTGTATTAAAATGCACCTTCTATAATGAGCTGCTAAAATTCTTTAAATGGTTATTTTCTTAATAGGTGAATTTTAGAGAACAAAAACAGTCTAGAAAAAGCACAACAAAAATTTCAAAGGCAAACTCTATTCAAGTATTATAATAAATTTCTTAGCGTAAAATAAAAACTTTGATAAGTTACATATAATTTTAACATTTTGAATGCTTTGGAGAAACATGTGTTAGGCATGAATTCTTCTTAAAAGGGCCAACTATTATCTATCTGAGCTCAAGTAAACTCTTCAATTGATTGGCCTCTCCTAACAGATGATCTCTGGAACTGGAGATGAAGAACACTACAAAGGAGGATGAGAATGGATACTGTTTGCTCAAGGCTGTAGATTCATTTCCCAGGCTATGGTCAGAAGGATTTCAATTGCATCATTATGTGATCATTCATTCTTATTCTACCTAGAAATTTGTCTCTCCATATAAGTTAATAGTACACATCACAAAAACCATTCAGAGTAAGAAAGAAATGATCATTTAACCATTAATGATCAGTTCTTTTCCCAAACGGCATAAAATTTTCAGATGTTTCCATTATGTGTATTGCATTTTTAAAATGAAAGAGTAGAATTTACAACAAACATATAATAAATATATTTTTATTTTTCAGATAATTTAACCCTCAAAGTAAATTTTAGAAGTGTTTTTTTGTTTTGTTTTGTTTTGTTTTGTTTTAATGGTTTTTGTCATAAGGCGTATGCACTTGCCAGAGATAGACAGAAACAGTGAGAGGGAAAGTGAGAAATCATTCTCCTGGGGGATGGCTATGCCACAATCCCTTCTCTTGCATTCTATTTCTGGGGTCTGAGGTATGCAGGCACTCATACCCAGAGTGATTTTCAAACTGCCAGGTTCAGGGCTATACCTACAATCAGCCAAAGAAGTAGTCCAGTGTCTTAACCACTACACCACTTGCTGGCACCATTATTTTAATTTTTATTTATGGAAGTACTGCTTTTAACTTAAGAAAAGCTAAGTTATATGTAAGAATTTTATTCTTGTTTCCCCTCATTCACAATATTTTTTAAGCTCAGAAATAACTACTGATTACTGATTGGTATATAGAGCATTTGATGTTACAATACTATTTTATAGATGTAGATACTAAAATTAAGGAATATTGAGTAACTTGCCAAGGTTAAATAATAGCAGTTTACTTTGTCTTAGGTAACACATCTAGAGACACAGAAACTGAGCTTTTACTCTCACTGCCAAGTCTCTATTTGTTCTTAAGATGCAATTCTATATATATTACCTTAGTTAAGTCCTCTGTGGATCAGTTTCATTACTAGTAAAATAAGCCATTGTCGTTTTGGATCCCTTCAGGCTCTCTCTCTCTCTTTTTTAACCAAATACAAAACTATTATAAATGAATTTCAGGGCCAGTCCAGCGTCTAATGGTAAAAAGTGACTGGATGTCAGATGGCTAACAACATGCTTCGAATCCCAGACCCAGAAATTTGAAGAACATACTGGGCTTGTGAATATGCCAAGAATCCCCAAAGGAGAAAGAGGTGGCGGAATAGGCATAGTGTGACTGAACCCCATGGGGGGCACTTTCTCATTTTCTTCTCTGTTTCTCTCTCTCTCTCAAATTATAAATAAATAAATAAATAAATAAATAAATAAATAAATAAATAAATAAATAGTTTAGGAAAGGCTGAGTGTCTTTTGCCCACCTTAGCTTTTTCATATTTAGACTCCTGGATGTTTGTTACTATGTTTGC